AAAACCTCCCCAAAATTTAGGGATTTTTATGGTTTTTAGGGGGGTTTTAACCCTAAATTTCAGCTTTTCACCCCAAAACCTCCCAAAATGTTGGGAATTTTTGGTTTTTCTGGAAGTTTTAACCTTAAATTTGGGGTTCTGACCCCAAAACCTCCCCAAAATTTTGGGGATTTTTGGTTTTTCTGGAGGTTTTCACCCTAAATTTCAGCTTTTCACCTCAAAACCTCCCCCAAATTTAGGGATTTTTATGTTTTTTAGGAGGTTTTTAACCGTAAGTTTTGGGTTTTCACCACAAAAACTCCTGCAAAATTTGATATTTTTGGTTTTTCTGGAAGTTTTGACCTTAAATTTTAGGTTTTAACCCAAAAACCTCCTGCAAAATTTGGTATTTTTGGTTTTCCTGGAGGTTTTGACCCCATATTTGGGGTTTTCACCTCAAAACCTCCCCAAAATTTGATATTTTTGGTTTTACTGGAGGTTGTGACCCTAAATTTGGGGTTTTCACCCCAAAACCTCCCCAAAGTTTGATATTTTTGGTTTTCCTGCAGGTTTTGACCCCATATTTGGGGTTTTCATCTCAAAACCTCCCCAAAATTTGATATTCTTGGTTTTACTGGGGGTTGTGACCCTAAATTCGGGTTTTCACCTCAAAGCCTCCCCCAAATTTCGGGGATTTTTGGTTTTTAGGGGGGTTTTAACCCTGAATTTCAGCTTTTCACCCCAAAACCTCCTGAAAATTTGGTATTTTTGGTTTTATGGAGGTTTTGACCCTAAATTTGGGCTTTTCACCACAAAACCTCCCCAAAATTTGATATTTTTGGTTTTCCTGCAGGTTTTGACCCCATATTTGGGGTCTTCACCCCAAAACCTCCCCAAAATTTGATATTTTTGGTTTTACTGGAGGTTGTGACCCTAAATTTGGGGTTTTCACCCCAAAAACCTCCCCCAAATTTGATATTTTTGTTTTTTAGGGGGGGTTTTAACCCTGAATTTCAGCTTTTCACCCCAAAACCTCCCCAAATTTTGATATTTTTGGTTTTATGGAGGTTTTGACCCTAAATTCGGGCTTTTCACCCCAAAACCTCCCCAAATTTCGGGGATTTTTTTTGGGGGGGGGTGTCTCCCCGTAGTGTCCATCCGCCCCTCCCCCCACCCCCATCACCTCCAGGGCCTCC